TCAAAGTTAAGACAGATTATGTGCACAGCATTCCCACTGTCCATCAGGGAAGTTACCCAATCAAAAATTGAAATCAGATTAGAATAGAATTTGTTCTTGTAAAATTTGTTCTTGAATAATCCATGTTGGCTTCCAGTAATCACTGTATTGTTTGCAGACTGACTGCTTTATAATCTGCTTCAGAAGTTTCCCAGAGTTTGATGTCAGACTGTAATTTCCAGGTTCTTCAGTAAGACTCCATCCACTGTGTTCCTTTTATACCTTGCTCCATTTGTATTAATCCAGATGTTCTTGATGGAGCTACTAAGCAAATACTCCTGAATTTCTGTGTGATACCTTTGGTTTCTTGAACCCATGGCAGAATCAATGGGCTCTTCTACGATCTCCATGCTTCATCGCCACACTTCTCTGGCCATCCATATCTGACATTACCATTTTACCATGGCTGGTATGGAAACATGGAGTCCTGTGGAAAGAGCATAGTCAGCAAGCTGTTCTTTACTACCCTCAACACCCTGGGAATATATGGATGATTTACTTTCAGGAACATGGAGAAACTGAGTAAATGCACAGAAGGACACTGGCACACTTCAGGCCAAACCTTTCATCCAGTGTCCATCTGAAACGTTCTTTCTGATATATTTACAGAAATATAAAACCATAGCAACTTGCTGGCATGTCTAAGTAGGAAGTGAAAAGCAGGGAGTGGTTAGGAATAGAGATAACGGAAAGAGTACACTTGGTGCTTTCATTGCTTTCTACTTTTCTGATTCAAAACGCAGCTTCAATGCTTTACCTAAAAGGAGTTTCAAGCAGGGCTTTGCCAAACAGTAGTTGCAAAGCAGCATTGGGTCCAAAATTCAGCCAATGCACTTCAGATTTTAAAGCTGCTCTTTCTTAGGCAGAGACAGAGACATATGCACCCCATTTCCCAGTCTCTTGATCCATTCTTACATTCACATATAGCCTATTGCCATTATGTAGGCGTGAGAATTGGCTGTCAAAATGGCCAGAATAATCTGCTGCCTGAATTACTTACTGATATTTGTTGCATGCATCCATAGCATGCCAATTATTACTATTTCCAGCATACCAAAGTGAAATAAAGTCTTTGAACAAGGCAACATGACCTACAGCAATGCTTCTCCCTGAGATATTTCTGTAACACAGTTCATGCATTAGTTGGACTGTGTCCCTCTCATCTAGTTTTTCTGTTAGCAGCTGAAGAGTCATATTTTTTTCAAAAGCATAATTAAAATATAAATCTATACAATAATCAAACATATATTGCCATTTACATGCACATTTATCTTTATAGTTAATACTACAGTCATTTGATAGTCAATTTCTGCATGAAGAATTGGGATAGATATTTCTTCTTTGTCAAGGGTAGCATCAGTTATTACTATGAGAAAAAGTAATACTCATTTGCCAGTATGAGTTGAAAGCATTTGCACTTTTGTGTTGTTGAGTGATTCATCCATATGAATATGCCTCACAGCAATGCATGCAGATCAATTAAGTCATTTAAAATACTTTTCTTTCTTAATCTTCTCAGGGTTTTAGCTTTACATATACATAGATGGCGCCATCTAGTTTCCATAGTACAAGGTTTGTACTTCATCGTAATGAATGTCCAATAGGAAGCTGTTATGAAACCTGTCTCAGAAAAAGCCTTCATTATATTTCACTGACCTAAAACACCACTGGACAGCCTTCAATTTGTGATTTCTGAGCAAGGTGAGGGAGCACCAGGTTTCTCAAGGTTTCTCTGGTGAGGGAGCACCAGAAATTCTCAAGGATTTCTGAGCAAGGTGAGGGAGCACCAGATATCTGGACCCTTATCAGTCTGGCCTCCCAGCTGGGTTTATGACCCACTGGTGGGTCCATTCATTCTCATGGAGAGGCATGAAATGTATAATGTCACCTTGTGATTTCTTCTAGCTCTCAGCAGATTTTGATTCTGTAATTCATCATAACAGTCTACATCCCTTCTTGTGATTTGCTGGGCGGCGGGGGGCACACCCTGCTTTGGTGGCCAACCTTTAAAGCCCCAAATGATCTTGTCCTGGATAATTTAAGAGCTGCCTTGTTTCTGATGAGCCTGCTGAGAGCTCCATTCAACAGTTGCGTTCTGCTCTTGGTTGTGCCCACTGTCTGAAATTTGGCGGGTGGAGGCACAAGATGGCTTTGTCTGTTACTGTGCCTACGCTGCGGAACACCCCGTATGGCTACCCCACTGTTGCTAAAGTTTTGGCTAAATTAATGTTATCTTGTGGCTGTTTTAATATTGTTGATACTTTTAAAATTGCTGATTTTAAAAGGAAAATTCTTGACAGTCTCTATCAAGGAGATAGGACATAAATATTTTCATAACCAAATGCATAAATAAAATACTGCAGTGGTCTTAGGATAATAAAAGCATTGGCAGTGTGTTCCTGGTAGCTTTTCTCAGGATGAAGTCACTGATAAAGATGTTGGCAACACCTGTGTCCAGCAAGCCAGCCAGAGCCATAGGGAGATGGGGTGGGGGGCAATGGAGGCTGGTGGCCATGGCGGTGGGAAGGCAGGCTCACTGAAGGGGGAGGCATTGAGGGGCCTTGCCCAGTGGCCCTCAAACACCTGGAGGGGCCCCTGCTGATTAGGAGGAAGAGGGGCAGATTGCTATCACTCCAGAGCCAGACAACTGCACAATATTCACATGACTTCAGGATTCAGGGTAATTACGATCGTAATGAAATAACAAAAGTATAAGCTAAATATGAACTATTCTGCTTCTGAAGCATAGTTTGCTATAAAGCCAACACCAACAGCAGTTGCTTATCACAGCTCCTGTAGCCTTTTTTTGCCTGTTTCTCTTCTTCAGCGAAATGCTGGCTTCCCTAGATTTCCTTCTCAGCTCCATTTGTTCACTCTGCTGTTGCTGAGTCTTCTGCAGCGCCAACATTGCCTTTTTGCCCCCTTTCCCTTCCAATTTATTTCATTTTTATACCACCCAATACCTGAGGCTCTCTTCCATTTTCCATTACCCCCAGACTTCATACAGCCCATAGCCCAAATAGGCAGGCATTAGGCCTGGGTCTCAGTGTGGAACTCATTGCACTTCTTGGCACCCCTGTGCCTCTTTGGCTATATGACAATATACAGATGTTTCCCTACAGATGTGGATGTAGTTAAAACTGCAACAGATAAGTACACCTCTCTGCTTGTTGTTTGCTTGTACTTGTGCATAGTGCCTGCTAATGAGAACTGGCTTTTGCAAGCACATCACACCAGTCCTGTGCAGGCTGCACTGGCTGCTGGTTGCCATCTGGGCCCAATACAAAGTGCTTGCAACAACATACAAAGCCCTAAATGGCTCTGGGCCATGTCCCGGCCTGATTACTGAGGTCTTCATCTGAGGCCCTTCTCCAAATTCCTCCCCACAGTGAAGTAAGGGGTGGGGGGAGATGGCTAGGGGAATGGCCTTTTCTGCAATTGTGCCCCACTTGTGAAACAAGCTTCCAGTTGAGATCCACTAGTGATCTTCTTTTCTCTTAGTCAGTCGCCAATTAAAAACATTTCTTTTTTGCAGTTATTTTGGTGAGTATGGGGGTTGGTTGTGGAATGGTTTATTGTCCTGCCATGTTGGAATTTTAACTGTCAGACAATTTTATATAAATGATTGTATTAATCAGGTAGTTCAAATGGTTCTATTATTAAGTGAATGTTGATTGTATTGTTTGTATTTTATTGTACTATTTTATTGATTTTTATGTATGGTTCATATGGTATTGTTTTATTTGCTGCTGTTGGATGTTGTCGGATGGAGGCCTAGAAAGCTGTGGGTGCAGCATACAAGTGAAATAACTACATAGATAATAGCTGTGTCTGTGTCCTTGTATGCAGCCATACTGCCCAGTACAGGCATGTTTGGGTGTCTGGGGCTGTGCACACGGATGAACTTATGTAAGTATGACAGCATGTAACATATGGCAGGCAAATCTGTGCTTCACCATTAGGCCTGTTTCCTCACTTATGCTTTCTTCGCTTGTCTCCATGGAAACTGAGCAAGAGGAAGGGAGCATTGTAGCGGTAACCATGGCCTGCTGTGGTAGATGAAAGGTGGCTATTGGCGAAAGAGGACCAGCACTTAATCTGTGTCAGAGCTCACCCAACACAGCCTGGACTTGTTTTCAAAGATTATATGAATAAATCATCAAGATTAAAAGGTTCCTGGGCACTTGGCAGTGAGCCTTTCACCCATATGGAATAGCTTGAGCCTCCTTCCTCATGTCATGGTTTAAAAAAAAAAGACTCCGTGTGTAGTTTCCAGACAGGATTCAGCATGCACACAATCAGCATCTATACCTGCCTCCTAGCACCCTTGATTGTAATTAAGTAAGCACCAAGAAACGGTCCAACTGATAGCTTGGTCAGGGGAGGAACACTTTCAGGTAGATCTTTTCAGTTAGTGTCCTTGCTAATAGAGTAGTTCTTACATGGAGAAACAGAAGGCAGTGTTTTCTGGTTGGAGGGTGCGATTCTCACTTCAGGTGCAAGAGGGCTGAACTGGTGGCCAAGACAAGCTCCGTGCAAGTGGGGAGAACAGGGCTGTACATGAGGATGCAAGGACAGGACACAGTTTTGCACATTTGATGGTACAGCACATGCTTTGCATGCAGAATATCCCAAGTTCAATGCCTGGCACTTCCAGGTAGTGTAGAAAATGGCCCCTGTTTGAAATGCTAGAAGATGTCCTTGTAGTTCAATCCTCCCTAACATGGTGCCCTTTGACTGTTTGGACGACAAGTCCAGCATTCCTGACCATGCTGGCAGGAGCTGGTAGAGGTTGAACTCCAAAGCATCTGAGGGACATCAGGATGAGGAAGGCTGATAAAACTGTTGGACCAGTGGGTTGACTCAGTATTTATTTATTATACTACTCAACAGATGAAGCTCACAAAGCATATTTTAAAACAACAAATAAAAGATAAATTGTATTAAAAAAGAAAAAAAAATTACAAAATTTAAAATCACATATTAAACAGGTTAAGACTTTAACGGAAAGAAGAGAAAAAATATTCATAGAATCATAGAATATTAGAGTTGGAAGGGTCCATGAAAGCCATCAAGTCAACCCCCCTGCTGTTGCAGGACACCAAGTTACACCATCCCACTCAGATGGCTGTCCAGTTTCTTTTTGAATGTCTCTAGTGTGGGAGAGCCCCCCACCTCTCTAAGCAGCTGGTACCACTATTGTATTGCTCTGATAGTGTGGAAGCTTTTCCCAATATCTAACCTGAATTTGGGTTGTCGTAGCTTGTCTTGATAATTCCATGTCTTGCATGCTGGTATCATCAAGAAGAGGTCTTGAGCTTCCTCTTTGTGACAGCCTTTGAGGTACTTATAGAGGGATATAAGCCCCCCCCCCCCATTGAAGAGTATAGAGGAACTACTACTTGTGATTTGGAAGTAATACTTCTTTTAATGCATTCCAGAATAGCATTTGTCCTTTTGGTGGGTGCATCACATTGGTGGCTCATGTTTAGCTTGTCCACAATTACTCCAAAATCTTTTTTTTTTTCAGTTCTGTTTCAGACGTATTCCCCATCTTGTATCAATGCATTTGGTTTCGTTTTCCTAGGTGGAGAACTTGGCACTTGTCCTTATTGAATCTCATTCTGTTGCTTTGAGCCCTGTGTTCAAGTTTATCAAGATCACTTTGGATCTTCATTCTGCCTTCTAGGGTGTTTGCTATTCCACCCAGTTTTGTATTATCTGCAGATTTGATTATCTTTCCTTGTACTTCCTCAGCTTAATCATTAATAAAGATGTTGAAGAGCACTGGGCCCAGAACTGAACCCTGTCACACCCCACTAGTTACCTCCATCCAATTTGAGAAGGTGCCATTGATGAACACTCCTTGTGTCCGATTTAGCAGCCAGTTCTGGATCCACCTAAAAGTTTTTCAGAATGTCTGATAAGCAAATTCAGACCTGTTTAACACATGGCAGGCCCTAGAAGCTACATGAATCCCCTGCAATTTAGCAGTGATGCCAACAAGGCTGATTGGTCTATCATGTGACAGCCGCTTTCAATCCCCCTCCCTCAAGACCAGAAGTGCTAAAGTTCTAACGCAGCCCTTGTGGATATCCCCAGTCTAAGTAATATAATCAAACAGCTTGGTTGAGAAAATAGCTGCCCTTTAAAGAGAATCCTGTGGCCACTAAACAGCTCAAATCCCCAGCTACAAGGTTGGAGACTGCGCCAGCTTCCTGGCTGAGGTCCGCATTTGCATCTAAGCTCTGCAGCCAGTATCAAAAGAATGCACCAACTACACCTTCAAAGTCAGGCAAGGGGGTTCTTCATGCTCTTGCTCCAGCAATATATGGAAATTTGTTGCCATGCAGGAGGTTCAGGCAAAGCAGGTTACCAGGCCATCTGGGTGGAGGCCTGCTTTTTATGGTAAAAATTACTTTGGCAGAATCAAACTATACTGAAAAGCAGGCAGGGCCTGAGTGGGGTGGCCCCCTAGTCAGTTGCAAAAATACAACTCTTCAGTTCCCATGCGAGGGTTTGCATCCTTGCCTGATACAAGAGCTCTCTTGGCTGGGTGGTTGTGTGAGGTGTGGCGTCCATGCCATACTTTACAAACCCTGTGGAGCTCAGTGGGCCTTGCTTTCAATTAAATGTGTCCAGGATTCCTGATTAAAGGGTTTTCATAGCACAACGTTTTATAGGCCAGATCCTGGCAGCAGGGTGATTCTTCATTCCCATAAACAAAAGGGGTAGGGCTTGGGCCACACACCACCATGCACTGATCCGGGAGTGAGGGCCAGAGAAGGAATGTGGGTCTTAACCACCCCCATGCTAACGTCCTGACCCAGGCAAGACTCTCTGCTGCACCTGTGAAAAATTGACAAAAACCAAGGCATTGCTGCTACATAGAGATGCAAAGTAATATCTAAGTCCTGCGCCTCATTGGATTTTATGCACTGGATCATGATGTTGGGGTGGTGGTGATGTTTCTTAAGAGAACACAGAAGAATTTCACAGGGCTGGGAAAGTGCCCCAACTGATGTCCTCTGGATGTGTTGAACTGCAATTCCCATCATCCATAGCCAACAGTGCATTGGGTTGTTGGGAGGAGGATAATGGGGGGTATTGTCCAACAGACCATTCAAACGCCAGGTGGGGCAAGGCAGGTTGCCATAAGCCTTCCTGCTTCAGTCTACCTGATGGCTTTCGCCGGCATGGGCTTTTCTAAACCATTCAGGGTTTTGTTTTTTTGGCAGTGTTTTCATTTTCAGGTCTGCCACCAGCACCATGTGTCTCAGCAATGCTTAGCAGTTCCGAGCTTTGTCGTTAGATTTCTATGGCAGTGAGACAACTGATGTGGTACAGTAGTTAGAGTGCTGGACACAGAACAAGAGACCCACAATTTCCTGGTGACCGTTTCTTTGATCACCTCTAGTTATTAACAAAACAGAAATCACAGGCTGACCAGGGTTAAAAGAAAAAAAAAGTGGCAGGGTGAATGAGCAGGAAATTAAAGGCCAGGCCTATCGGAATGCTTCTATTTTACTGTCAGCTTATATTTTCCAGGTGGCATGTAAGGGCTTTTTATTTATAGAAATATATATATATCAATGTGGTTCTAAAGTGGAAATTGCTTTTATACTTGGCAATGATGATGCAAACATTTCTCAGAAAGATTCTTTCATACATTTAATATTTAATAATGTTTTTTCATTACTGAGTTGCAGAAGATTGTGGCTTCCCCTTTTCAGGCTGTTCACTTTTCACAAACTACCACCAAACGCAGAAGTGGTTGGTCATCCAAGCAACACTGCTACACGAACCTGAGTAATCTGTGAAGAACTGCTAGCAGGAGCCCTTTGGGTTCCCAGAGGCAGGGCAATTGTGAAGGGTAGGCATGACTGAGCACCTACTGAAGGCCCATCTCCCAGCAGGGGTCCACTGACAGCTCCTCCTGCCCTTCTCCAGTGCAGCTTGCATGTTCTTACTGTAGTCCAAAAAATGGTGCTGGTGAGGAGGAGGAAACATAGAAACAGAGCGAGTCAGAAGGGGCCTCCCGGGCCATCCAGTCTGACCCCCGGCTCCAGCCAACTCCACTCACGACATGCCCACCATGGAGGAGGAGGAGCTGTAGATACCACTGCCTCCATCCTCTCTGCCTGTCAAGCAAGAAAGTGATAACACTGAGAAAGATGGTGAGAAGCAGTAACCATTGGTGACCATGTCAGTGAGAAGGTAAACTCACTGAGGGAGGGGCATGCATTGAAAATGTCTTGCCCAAGAGTCCTCAGAAGTCTGGACCTGGAATTGCCTAGAGGTCATTGCATGGAGGCTACTGATTGCTTAAACTTGACCTTCCATGCCTCATTGCTGGAATATGTGAACTACTTCCAGTGGTGTGTTGGGGGTGGGGGTGAGTGTGTGTGTGTGTGTGTGTGTGTGTGTGTGTGTGTGTGTGAGAGAGAGAGAGAGAGAGAGAGAGAGAGAGAGAGAGAGAGAGAGAGTAGGAGGGGAACCATTGGGGTGATATGAAAATCTTGAGATGTTTGATCTGCGATGGCTGATTCACACATTCAGGTTCCCCTCTGATGTCACATGAAATGATGAATGTACATGTGCAAATGAGCCCTGAGGCTAATTGTGGCTGTGATTCAGTGGGTTACACAAGTGCTGGTGCTGATTTGGGTGTAGCTTCTATTGACCGTTTGGTTCCTTGCTCTTTGAAATGTGCCTTGATTGTTTCTCTCCTTTCATACTTGACCTTAATACACTCCTCATTTTTTTCCTCTTTTCAGACAATAATTCCAGACTTGTTAATGACTCCAAGTGATCAAGGAAATGGTGACCTAGAGATTGAGTACCCTGAAGACAGAGGAAATTGGACAGGCAAGCTAGATTTCCTTTTGTCCTGTATTGGCTACTGCGTTGGACTGGGAAATGTCTGGAGGTTTCCATACCGTGCTTATACAAATGGGGGAGGTAAGTACTGGACTGTATTATTTTTATTCCTCAATCTTCTCCGAATAGTGCCATTACCTTGCTGCACCAGAAGGACAGGAGGACATGCCATTCCCTTAGAAAGAATGATGTGATATAGAAGGACCCCAAGGCAATACAGTTTTGCCTTCAGCCGGTACTACCATCAGCAAAGCACCAAGTTGCTATCTGAATATCTGTCTCAGCTTCAGAACTACAAATGACTGTGCTGATCCTTTGTTTGTTCTATAGATTTCATACATTTTCCCAAGCAGCTGAATGTGAATGGCATAAACACAACATGGAGTTAAGAAAAAGATGAAGCTGTGTTCCCCCACACGGGGACCCCAGGCATCACAGTGCCCCAGAGCTTTTGGCACCTGTGAAGCCCAGTGTATTGGGCCCTTACTATATCAGAAAGGACCTGAGTCAACACTTTGGCACTCAGTTTCTGTTCAGCATTGCTTGTGGCAGTACGTTAAATGCCTATACTCCATAAACTTTATTAAACCTGTTGTTAGTTTTACATCCTCTTTGAGGTCTTCTCCTCATGATATGCTTCATATTAATCAACAATTTTTTTACCAGGCAGTTGGGATTGCTTCAAAGCAAAGTGGTTGCCTTCAGCTTGCCGCCATCATTATTTCCCAGAATGTCTCCAGAAAATTACAAGAGCAATTGGCTTGATGCAAACACTTTGATTTGAAGCGCTCATGGCCACCTGGAAAAAGTGGATGGTGGGGGAACCCAAGCTCTACGGCTGTTTGGTAAGCTGGGTCTTGGAGAGGCAGCTGAGAGCAATGGTGGTATTTTCTGTTGCCTGTGTTTTGTGTTGTACATGTGTTTGTTGTCTGTGTTTTCTCAAAGACAACAAACACATGCATGTCTTTTCTATAGACATGCAAACATACACTCAGAGGGCCGGGCACTCCCACCTTTTATTAGCAGCCACCACACACCCATTGCATCCCATTTGTGGACATGACCCTGACTCCTTTTGGAAATTTCAAACATGCGCATGAGCTGACCAAGTTTGGGATCCCGGTGACAAGGTAGGTTGAGAATTCTGCACTGTTTGTTTGTAAAGCCACTGTGGTACAGAGGGTAGAGTGCTAGACTAGGACGAGGGAGATTTAGATCCTAGTCCCCATTTGCTTGTGAAACTCGCTGAGTGATTCACTGGGCCAGTCTCTGACTCTCAGACTAACCCACCTCAGATGGCTGTTGAGGAGAACCTTGTTAAGTCACCTTGAACTCCTTGCAATAGGGAGAAGGGCAGGATATAAATGTAATGCAATAATATAAAACTGATAATAAAGAAGCCTAGGAAATGAAAAAGAGGTGGACATATTTGTTAAAAAGTTGAAATCACTCTGTTATGAATTTACTCTTAAGCAAGGGCTAGCTTGCTGCTGGAAGCCTCTGCCAGATATTCCGTGTGTTTCTGAGAACAGTGTTGATAAATCAGTAGGAAGCCTGCATCCTCCCGAGTCAGTGCAGAAAGCAGGCTGCATGAGTTCAGGATATGAAAGGTCAGCACTCACCGGGAGAGGTCACTTTCCCTAATTGGCAAAACAACAAGATTCTAACCATCCACTGAGAATATTTTGCTTTATATAGTTGAGTGTCAGTTCTAGGATCATGACAGAATTAGGAAAAATAATTTGATTCTCCTCAGCCAAATGTTCTACTTAGTTTCTGATTCATACTGTGTTTTAATTGCTTTTGTAAGAACTGTTGGTGGGACTTTTTTTTTAACAAGCCACCTGCATTTCAGTAGAATAGCAATGGGGCCCTTTGTGTTGACAGATAGTTTTGTGAAGTATCACACATCTGCCAACATTTGGAAATACTGCAAATAAAGGCACTGCTTTGGCAATTGAGGATGTAAAATAGATAAATAAGTAATCAGGATGCTAATCTGGAGCTTATTACTTTCTTAGTTAAACCACAGTCACTCCTGGTCATCTTGCTGTCTTTGGAATTCAACTTTCATACTGAAGGCATTGTTATATCCTTCTAGTACTCATCTAGTGCAGGGTAGGGCCTTTTAGCCTTTATATCTCAGTTCCTATCGGCCAAATAAAGCACACCATTTCCTATTCACCAGAAATGGCCATATATCAAGTTAGAGGGCCCAGTCCATCCAGTGTCACACTGGCCACTCTGCAGGCTCCCAAGTGGAATAAACACATTCCATCACTTGCTGCCTGGTCCCTAGTACTGGGGGGCACTGGGGCTTGATCCTGGGACCTTCCTCACTCTGACACTGAGCAGTGATCTCCACACAAGCACATTGTGATAAAAGGAAGACAGCAGTCATGCACATAAGGTGCTCCAAGGTCAGGGTGATAAATGGAAAGTTGCTGGGGGCAACCTGGAGACTTGCCCTGTACATTTAGATTCAATGAAACGGAAGAGTCAGAGGAGAATACCTTGCCCAGCCCTTTCTGTCCTATCCTATAGTCTGGATTTCCTTTTTTATTTCCTGCACACCTGGGGCAAACAGGCAGGCAGTGGAAAGGCAGAAGTAAAGAAGTACTTGGTTACATTTCCTGATCTGTGGACAATTTTAATCAGATCAGATCTCCAGGTTTCAACCTGAGAGCCCTTATAAAGAGAATAAGGTAACTAAGGCATGAGAAAGACATTTAGTGGTCATATCATACCTTCTCAGCTTTGACCACTTTCCAGCCATGCCAAAGGTGCTTTGGGTCATGTTTTTATCTCCCGCAGGGGCATTCCTTGTTCCATATTTCATCATGTTGGCAATGTGTGGGATTCCCATCTTCTTCATGGAGCTGTCGCTGGGCCAGTTCTCCAGCCTGGGGCCTCTTGCTGTTTGGAAGATATGCCCGCTCTTTAAAGGTGTGTGTGTGTGTGTGTGTGTGTGTCTTCATGAGTGGGTGCATGCATGCATATGCAAGATGCAGTGCTCAACTAGCTCCCTCAATATTTCCATCTCCCTTTCTTCTCAGTATAGACAGTCAGTGTTGCCAGTGCAAACACATAGCTGCACTAGCAGCCCTAGACATTGCTATCTCCTTCGCTCAATGTTGGGAAAATATACAGTGCCACTTGCCATAATGGGTTGCAATGGATGGCACACACAAAAACTCTCAAAGGAGCAAAATGCATCTTCTCTCTTGTGGTTTCAAAGACAAGATCCATTGTTTAATGGGAGACCTGGGAACCCAAATTATGCCAAATAATTTCAGATAACACATGCTTTTAAAATGGTTGTCAACAAAATACACTAGCAGAACTGGCAATTAATGTAAGAGACTGCTGAAAATGGCTGGAGTGAATTCTTAGTGATGGACCATGCAACCAAGGCAACTGTGGGATTTGGTTCCTGTGCTAAGGTGCCAGTTATGGCCGACTCAGATTTTCTGTCCTTGAAATGTGGTCCAGGAACAGTGCAATAGATAAGTTGCACCCCTGGGAGTTACCTGAGACTTGCACTGCTGCCATTATATTGATCTCTTTCTGTCATTTCTACTCTTCTTTAGGTGTTGGCATGGCCACAATCCTGATCGTCTCCTTGGTGGCCATTTACTATAACATGATCATTGCCTATGTTCTCTTCTACCTCTTTGCCTCACTGACAAAAACCTTGCCCTGGCAGTACTGTGGCAACTGGTGGAATACAAACCGATGCTTGGACCACCATGTCATGCACACAGGGAATGGTGCTGTCCCTTTCAACGTCTCTAACACTGTCAGCCCAAGTGAGGAATACTGGAGGTAGGTAGGTTAGGTAAGATAAAATGAAACCAGTGGGTGATCTATGAAAACATGGATGTTATCTTTGTAATTGTCAGCTGGTTATTCTGTATGGTATCACAGATGGCTTCGTAGAACTGTCTACATAGTACAACCCATGAAACACTCCTTAGTCTGGATATTTTCTGACAAATATGTGGATCTGTTCATCATGTTTAGGAAGTTACAACATGCACAAGGTTTTTTTTCTTCTCTTCTAGCAGATATTATGAGAATTGTGAGTTATGAAAGCCAGACTGAATAGGTTTTAAATCCATACACGTTATGGAAATACCTGCCAGTTAAGGCTATATCACTGTTCTCCAAACTCCAGAAAGCCAGGAAATTGGAAGCTAAGGCTGATGCCTTAACTGACAGGTCAGAAGCAGCAATGGAACAGCAAGCAGGGACGTGGGGGAGTGGCTGGAGTAGGATGTCTTAAGGCGTCCCTCTCTCATTTGGCTACCATCCCTCCATGCAGTCCCCAAGGTTGTAAAGGGGGCAGAGAAGGGAGAGAGTCCTTCTGCAAAGCCTTCTTTCCCTTCCTGCAATGGTGAATGCTGCTTCTGCATCTCTGTGAGCTGTGTGGAAGTAGCAATCGGACAATGTTGGCAGGGTTGGTTAGCAGCAGAGGGAAAAACAAAGGCCTGCTTCCGCTCCTGGTCTCCCCTTCCAGGCATCTCCTTGAAACTTCAGCAGCTAGGAAAATTAAGGAGCTGCTACTATGGATGGGGCAAAGGAGACAGAAAACTGGAGATCCTCCCAACTTGCCTGACCAGGCACCTTTATTGTTACGTGAGCCGTGGCTTTCTCTCTGTTCACAGTGGCAGTTTAATATTTGGGGAAAAAAGCTTTCTGCCAACTGCAAAAGAGGAGGAATAGGAAACCATCAGTGTTTTAAATAAGCAGGCTATATTATCTTCACAAATTCTGCATAAATTATGCCACCAATCAATTTTGATTAAAGTCTTGGATTTGGTTTTTTATTATTTTTTTATTTTAGTGTTTAAACTGCTCTTTTCCCCTCAAACCTACCATGTTTTCTGAAATTTACTGGGCATGTAAAATGAAAACTTTTTTCAGAAACAGTGGTAGAACCATTTCAGTTTTATAAAGATTATAACAAAGCACACACATGCACATGCACATGCATGCACGCGCGTGCGCACACACACACACACACACACCCCATTTCCATTAATATGATGGAACTCATTTGGTGTTATATAGTGTTTAACTATGTTAGGGCCATAGTGGCTTTTGAGATCTACTTTTTGATTCAAAGCCCAAAATCTGCCAACCATTACCTGGTGCAAAACAGTGGCATAGGGGGCAGACACACACCTAAAACTAAACAAAAGTTTCCCATGAGCATGTGCTGAGCCCCTTGATTATGACCACAACTGAGCTCCCAGTCCCTTCAAACAAAAACCAGCTGCTGGTTCTATTCTAAGCTAACAGAATTCCAACAAAGGGGTGTCAGAAACTTGCTGATTTACTGCAAGTCACCCAGAGACCTATAAATAGTTCCCAGTATACTGGGGGGCAATAGAAAGTTCGTTGGCCACATGCAGCTTCCATCCTCCAAGTTCCGGAGCTACAGATTGACAAAGTTGTCATATGGTAAGGTTTTTGCAAACAGCTACATTTGACCCTTTTGGCATTTCATAGTGCTATGAAAGCCATTTCCCCCCAGTGGGGATATGGGTAGACTGCAGATCATCTGCAGTTCTCCAGACCTTTGATATAATTTCTGCCTGCCTTTGTATTAAAGCATAGGAGGAAAGAATGCAACTAATTTTCAGCCCAGAGTCCTGGTGTGAAGGTATTCATTCTGTTTGAAAGAAATCCCATTGTACATTCTTCATTGTCAAAGACACTTAGATTTTAAATTGAGGGCATAAAGTCCCTTTCAATGTAACATCTCTTTTATACGTCCTTCTCAGCTGCACATTCAGAATTCTGTTTCACCATGCAAATGTGCAGCAGAATGAATGCACACAAGCTGGAAACTAAGATTGGCTGTTGTATGTATATGCACAGTGCATAAAAACTGAAAGTGATGGCTATGCAGTTGTGTAATACATTACTATCTATACATTGTTCATCCCTTCTCTAGAAGGAAATGCTTTCCTTTCCCTTTAATTCATTTCATTTATTTCATTTCTATACTCAATATGCAAAGTTCCCTGGATGGTTTACCAATATTAAAACTTTAAAATAAATTAAACTAACCATGCCAGACTTTTATATTATTTGTGGCTACCTTTCATTGCCACATGATCACAAATTATGTGATTCTGAACCTGGCGTCACTTTTACTAATAGAAGAGTGGTGCTCCTGTCCATTATTTGTCTCCTTTTACCGTAGTCGTTATGTCTTGCACATCCAAGAAAGCTCAGGGATTGGGGATCCTGGGAGGATTCGTTGGAATCTGTGCCTGTGCCTTCTTCTCGCCTGGGTCATTGTGTACCTCTGTATCCTAAAGGGAGTCAAATCCTCTGGCAAGGTACAGTATGAAATTGTATTTAGCACCAGTGTGTTTGAAGCACTATTTGGTCTGGATTCAGAAGCTAGATTCCCTTGTCTTCTGCTCAGTGAACTATTTAGGGCAGGAAAAAAAATCTAGACTCTGAGTTGTTCCTAGCATAGATATTGCATTTAGGCTCTAGATGCTAAAGTGGAGAATATCATGTTTGCCACCTTCACATTCAAGAATAGAACAGAAATAATAGCCTGCTCAGCCACTCTCAGTATGTGAAAAGAAGGAATGCTGTAGCCACTGCCTCTCAGTTTCCATCACCCTGTACTCTTGGCAGGCAGTGGTTTGAAGGGAAGAGCTTCTGGTATACATAGAGGTTCTCCATGTGAGTAGGAGACTTTCAGATTTTTTAAATCCTCTTCAGCTCATCACCCTCTGTGAGTACAGGGTACAAGATATCAGAAATGCATGAGAAGGAGTGTGTGGGGCTAGAGCACTACCTTTCCTTCTATATGGACTCTTCACAATTGGAACAATCGGACTGGGTTGTAAAGGCCTAATTGCCAAGGGAACTTTCTTTGTTAACTTTTTGTCCAGTCCTGAAAATCTGGTAAACAGTCATCCTAGATTCTGATATCAGACTCAAATTAACTTGGAAATCTTCACATCATTGTTTAAAGTTGGTTTGGGCAGTAAAAGAGGACAGTTTGTTGTACCAATTGAAAGTAGCGGATCTGAGGTGACACTGAGAATTAATATTATTTGATAAACTCCCTGACCACTGTCTTTAAGTCATCAACAGATACATATTTAATTTGTTACTTGTTACTGCTGAAATACATGGTAAATTGAACATAATACCTGTGGAAAGGATCCTAAGATTATATTTCATCAGCAGCTGAACACAAGTCCCCAGTGTTATGCATCAGCCAAAGGGAATAATATGATTTTATCATTATTCTGCATAAAAGAACCACTGTTTCCAAGTTATAAAAAGTAATAGTTCTATCTTATTCTGCAGTAGTCCAGCCCTATCTGAAGGTGCTGCATTTTCAGAAGGTGCTGCACTTTAAGAAGGATACAGAGAAACCAGAAAGGTATAAAGGAAGGCAAAGTTACAGTCAGCAGTATGGGAAACAAGTCCTATGAGGAAAGGTTAAAGGAGTTGGCATGTTTAACCTGGAGAAGCTGAGTGGGAACATGAGAGCACACCTCAAATAGAATTGCAGAGTTACATGGGACAGAAGAGAGGGGCAGAACTAGATCTAATAGGCATAAGTTATGGAAAGGTAGGTTTCTGTTGCACATCTGAAGCAGTATCTAGAGGGGATGAGCAGTTTGACAATGGAAAAATGGGTTGTATATAATGTTAGTCCCTTTCATTTCAATAGGTCTACTCTAAGAAGAGCTAATAGGATGCCAGCCAATAGGGAAGGGCTCTCCTTCACTATAATTCTTCAATACCTCTCTGGCATACTCTGTCTCTAGATTTTTTGCCTCAAGCTGGCTTAGATGCCCTACATATCTCCAGTTCTATGATAAGGTGCTCCTTTGTATTGTAAAAACTCGTGATAATACAGATGATAATTTTGCATAATCAATGGAGTATGTATACTGAATTCGATATGTATTCTGAAAATAACAATTGCAATCAAAACAGCTAATATTTTCTTCTTCCAGGTTGTGTATTTCACTGCCACATTTCCTTACCTCATCCTGATCATGCTCTTAATTCGTGGTGTGACACTGGAAGGGGCCTGGTTAGGAATCAAGTTCTATCTCACACCCCAATTTGACCTCTTGCTGTCCCCCAAGGTGAGATTTGTGCTGTGCAACTTCACTAAACAGTGGAGCTTAATTACACAGTCCTTATTATTGCCATGTACAAGCAATTAACATCCTCAAGTAGAGGTGAGTAGCAGGGGACTCCTCAAGCCTGACAGCTGCATAAGAAGAAAGTTTATATTTCATGCACATGTTCATAGGCCAATGGGTGGCATTCCTTGATTTATGTAAGAAAATTCATTTTTGAAACATATACCTCACTTAAGCCACAACTACATGTTATATTAAATGTGTGTGTGTCAACTGCCATAAGCTGTCAACTGTGTGTTTAACACACACATATGGTGTCCTCTGTAAGATCTAGGGCAACTTACCCATGAGGCCAGACATGGACTTTTGGCAGCAGATCTGCATTTAATGTAAGATACAGTTTTACCTTGGTAAATTACGCACAGAAGTGCAAAAGGCTCAAGGTTAGCACAAATTGCTCAGACTTACACTTTTGCTTTACTGGATGATATATAATTTTTCTACACGAGACTGTTAATCCACTGTATCTACTGACAATTTCAGTAGAGTTGACTTTCCTGTATTTCAGTTGCTTTCCCCTTTATTTCTCATTTTTTTCATCTCCATTCCAGGTGTGGATTGAAGCAGCTCTGCAGATCTTTTATTCTCTTGGGGTGGGATTTGGGGGACTTCTCACCTTTGCATCATATAACACCTTCCACCAGAATATCTACAGGTAATTGTTCTTCATATAGCATGACATATAAATGGAAGGCAGATAATTTTGATTATTAATTTGTGTTCTTAGCAACACTGAGTTTGTTAGAATAAGCAACAACTATAAGTTAAATCTAGTTTGTGGAATAGGAAATCACTGACTGAAAAAATATTCAGTGGTTAATTCATGTAGTGAGTTGGGGTACTGGTTTTTGGTTTCACTTTTGCCTGTTACTTTGCCTTTGTTAGGTGTAAGAAGAAAGTGCCTGTTGATATTGAGTAAAGTCCCCATTTAAAACTACAGTTATCTTCTGTGACAAGTATGTCAGGGAAAGCTTTTACTCTGCAACAACTTCTCCTGAAAGAGAATCTACATAGAACAGCAAAAGGATGTAGGGCTAGCCCAAGGCATTTTGCTGCCTAGGATGAAGGACAAGATGCTGTCCTCTCCCATTCCAGAAACTGACCTTTTCTCAGATGACCCTTCCATCACACTCTGCCATATGCTAAGCATGGCCCTGAGATGGATATTCATGGATGTGGTCAAAGGAAAGAGACAACAGTGCAATTGCTGAAAAGAAAGTTGGCACAGATAGCTGGTAAAATGAGTAGGAACATAGATTTGTTGAAAACTGAAGAAGGGAGGCTGGAGCTGTTTGACAACCAGCAGAAGGGGAGGGGGGACAGCAAAGAAAGAGTACATATACATAATGTTCCATACATATACACATACTGTTCAGTGCAGCTTCTTTACTTAGTTCTGTTTGCAATGCCAGTTAAGTATTGAACAAGTACTCTCTGTGGGAAGAACATATTTTAAGTAGAACTGCGTAGCATGTGCAAAATGCTAGTGTACCAGGGTACCAGTAAACATGAGATACTACGCTTAGGAAAGCTTAAGTCCCTGATATTAGAAAGAACATTAGGAATAAAGCATGCATAGTCACATGCTCAGCAGAACATTTACATCATTCTCTCTCCCTCAGTGGGTATCTTCTTTCCATGCATGGAGTCATAAAATTTGAGGTCCTGTGAAAGTGTGGCAGGCTGATAGGGACTGTCTGGTTGTGATGCGTAATTCCTTGCCTCGTCGTGCCTCTCTAGATATTATGTAGTATTGCAAATGGCCAGTGCCTTTTCAGGACAGCTGAGGCTACTGATTCAGCTCCTGTATTTTTTTTTTTCTATAGGGATACATTTATAGTCACGGTGGGCAATGCCATCACCAGTATCTTGGCTGGCTTTGCCATATTCTCTGTTTTGGGTTATATGTCACAAGAACTTGACGTCCCTGTTCAGGAAGTGGCCAAAGCAGGTAAGGCCTGAAAATGCCTTTCCCCCACTCTTATGTTCAAATGACTGTGTGTACTGCATTGTCCAAATATTAGCTTTCTCTGTGCTGCACAGTGTATTTGTTTGCAAATGTTTCTGAAAGAAAAAGTATTCAGCTTTGTACTGATTGACTGAGTCCCTTTTTGGAGACTCCACAATGTTCAAGTGCATCTCCCTTGCTCCCAGGATGCATTTTGGGGAGGTAAATGGAGTAAATCAGACTTCCCTAACCTTGGATCATCTGGATGTGATGGACTACAACTTCCAGCTGCTGGGGATGCTGGAACTGTAGGATCTGGAGGGCACCACCAGGTTGGGTAAGGATGGAATAGATACTCAAAAGAGGCAGTGTGGTGTAGTGGTTGGACTGGGCTGCAGGAGATCAAGGCTCTAGTTCCTGCTGAGCCATGAAATTCACTGGGTGACTTTGGGCTGGTCACTGACCGTCAGCCTCACCTACTTACAGGTTTGTTGTGAGAGTGAATGGAGAGTACCCTGTGTAAGGCACCTTAGGTTCTTTGCAAGAGGAAAAAGGCAGCATCTAAATGTGATAATGATATTTAAATTTAGTAATAGCAATAAAAGGCAGACCAGCATTGGGCTTCTGTTTATCACCACTGGAATTAGGCAACTAAATGGTTGATGTGTTGTCTGAGCTAGGCAAATAAGCCACTAACAGAAGAAGGAGCCTCCCTGCATTGGCATAGTGCCCTCTGGTTTATTATTAAGAAAAATGCATTGGAGAGTGAAACTTAGGGGAAACTCAGCTGCCTGTGGGGCCACGTCTCACAATCATCTGGCACAGCTAGGGCAGAATTAACTAAACATTGCCAAGGAAGGTGAGATACATTTGCTGACTAAGGCTGCAATCTTCTATCCACAAACCTGGGAGTAAAAATCAGTGGGACCTACTTTTGAGTAGACTTGCATAGGATAATGCTGTAATGGTGCTTGCAGATAGAGGATTCCTAGCAGAAGGCATGGTGCAGCAGTGCTGCCTTTTATTTTTCCTGCATAGATTTAATGCAGCAAAGGTGCTTCCTGGCAAGGTTTCAATGATGCAATCGCCCTACCTCATTTGCATACATTTATCAGGGATTCAGACAATGTTGTTTTCTACATGCGATGCTCTTGTGTTTTAACCTAAAAGAGAAAATCTATTAAGAAGAAAAAGAACAATAGCACAAAGGCATTTAGGCTGTTAATACTAGGAGTCCTCCAATTAGAAGCATCCTAAGATAAAAACAAGGGACTGCAGGTGGCGCAGTGGTTTAAACCGCTGTGCTGCTGGGCTGGTTGATCAAAAGGTCACCAGTTCGAATCTGCACAACGGGTGAGTTCCCATTGCTCCATCCCAGCTCCTGCCAACCTTGCAGTTCAAAAGCATACAAATGCGAGTAGATGAAAAGGTACCACTTCGGTGGGCAGCTAACAGCGTTCTGTGCACGTCGGTGTTTAGTCATGCCGGCCACATGACCACGGAGACTGTCTGCAGACAACGCTGGCTCCCTCGGCTAGGAAACGGAGATAAGCACCGCCCCCTAGAGTCAGGCATGACTGGACTTAATGTCAAGGGGAAACCTTTACCTTTACCTTTAAGATAAAAACAGCAGTGGGAAAATATGGGAGGGTTGTGAATAGAAGAGGCTGCTTGCTGGAGACTCCATAAAATTTACCGTATGAGGTAGGGCAATATCACCATAATAGCTTTATTTGGAAGCACCCTAAATCTCAGTCTATTAGCAGCATATTTCCTAAATCACAACAACTAAGGAAAGCAGTCTAGAAAGCAAGTAGTGCTTTTGGGGCTGGAAACTGCCTTTCTAAAATTAGAGAAGGACCGTCCTTGTATTTTAGGTAGGCAGTGCATCTCTGCTCAGAACTGTGCCTTACGGTATATGCTGGAATGGGAAATGTGGGACTCCCCACCACCAAGTCCTCCATGGGCTGGAAGATGTCCCTAGGTGGCCCACAAAATGCTTTAGTCCTCCATGCCAACCCCAGAGTGTTTGGGTGAGATATCCTTTCCCTTTTTGCTCAACTACCTTTATGTCTACATTCCTGAAACATAACTCACCCATAATATTTCCTGTAGAGTCCGAGTCATGGTTCTTCCAATTCTTCTGGGTCTTCTGTCTTCTAGGTCCAGGCTTGGCATTTGTTGTGTACCCACAAGCCATGACAATGCTTCCTCTTTCTCCTTTCTGGTCTTTCCTTTTTTTCTTCATGCTGTTGACTCTTGGCCTGGACAGTCAGGTAAGGAGATAGCATCTGTGCAGTAAGCGAGCACTTCAATCATTTGCCTTCAAGGGGAGGACCCTCAAGGCTCACAAGAGCACCTGCTTTCATTTGTGTGCAGTTTGCCTTCCTAGAGACGATCGTTACTGCTGTAACAGATGAATTCCCATATTACCTGAGGCCAAAGAAGGCTTTTTTCTCAGGCATTGTATGTCTTGGAATGTTCCTGTTGGGGCTCATTCTCACAACAGAGGTAAGGAAAGTCAATTTTTCAGTAACCAAACAATTTGGGGTCCTTGTTCAGGTGAAGATATGCAGGAAAATTGACATTAGGACAGGATGAGCAGAAAAGAAAACCCTAACAGGGATTCTCATCTTATGGAGTAAGCCAGCCTTTCCCAACCCAAGGCCTTTCACTTTTGTTTGACTGCAACCCTGCTAGCAAAGCTTTCCCTGGAATTATGGGAGCTGAAGTCCAACACATCTAGTAGGTACCAGATGGGAGAAGGCTGGAGTAGGTCCAAGTGATCACAAGTCAAACACATTAGATTTGCATATCCAGCTCAAGTGCCCGGTTCTATTAACACTTCATTGTGATCAGGTAAATCATACTGCTTCTGTGGCCTGATAGTCTGAGCTCATGAACATGTGACTGCTCTTAGCACAAGACTATACTGCTCCTGTCTTCTGAATATTTAAGTTATTAAACTACCTGACCAGCAGAACAAAACATGTTGTCCCAAGTAAATCCATTTGGAAGGCAAGTGAGTAGTCCCTGAAGGAGTGTAAAAAGTGGGCCCCCACAACTCGACAGTGCTGTGCCTTGGGCAATTTGTTGTTCCTTCTTCCTAGGGTGGGATGTATTGGCTAGTGCTGCTGGATGACTACAGTGCTGGGTTCGGACTCATGGTAGTGGTCATCACCACCTGCCTGGTGGTGACACGTGTCTATGGTAAGGCAAGAGACATGGGTTGTGTTTGGAATTGGTGAGTAGGATGTTCTGAACATTCTTAAAATAAATAGGCAAGGCAACAGAGATTTGGAATTCAGGAACAGATTGCCAATATCCAGATTTAGAGAGCTTAGGATTGATGTGGAACTGGTTCAAATGATACTTCAAATTGCACCAGTCTTTACTCTGCACCACAGAGATGTTTTTGATTTGGTCAGGCACAGGTGTTCTGTGCAAAAGTAAAATTTGGGTCTTTAGGACAGTAAAAGGATGATAAATTGTTTTTTTACTGGCTTTTGCCATGGTGGTTTCTATGGGCAGAGAGGGTGCCTGGCAAAATTACTGTTTGATTTGCTAATTAGTGTAGCTATTATTTGTATTCTGAACATGGAAGCAGGCTTACCCTGCTAGAGAAATTTACAGTACAATTTTTATTTCTGGGGGGAGGTTATCAGACCCACTGAAACAACAGCAACAACAATAACAAAATAGTCATATCTTATGCAAATTTACTTGAAAGTGATTCCCACTCTGTTGAATAGGTTTTACTCTCAGGTAGACTGAGGCTGCAACTCTGTATAATTAACTGGCAGCAGGTCTCACTGAATGTAGTGAGCTTTCCTTCCTGATAAACATGCACAGGGTTATGCCATTTATGCTTTAGTATCAAACAACTAATAAATTTCTTCCACATCATTTTTTCTCCATAGGCATGAAGAGATTTTGCCTTGATGTTCACATGATGCTGGGCTTCAGCCCAGGGATATACTTTAAAGCCTGTTGGCTGTTCCTGTCCCCTGTAATGATGATGGTAAATATGTTCATTCTGAAGCTTTTTGTCAGAACTCTTCTTATTCTCTCCTTGACTGCTAGCAGGGACTTTGTTTCTTATCCTAGCCCTGTAGGACAGCATCCGTTTCGCGATAGAAGGGCAGGGGAAGCTCTTGGTGCATGCTGGATCCCTGATGGCTGATGTTTTATTTCAGGCCCTGCTGGTTTACAGCATAATCAAGTATGAACCATTAGAATATAATGGAACCTACCACTTTCCATTTTGGGCTGAGGTTCTGGGCATCCTGATGGGAATCTTCTCCTGCCTGATGATCCCACTGGGAATGGTTTTTGCTGTGATCCAAGAGGAAGGGACACTCTGGCAGGTAAGCAAGAAAAACAGTGCCCATGGAGATGTGACTTGAATCATTCCAGTTCCAGACTACCCACACAGCCTTCTCTGCACTTCCCATCTCTTCTGTGCCAATCCTCATGCAGAATCACCTTTTGTTTTTGTTGTAGTACCAACATCCAAACTTCAGTCAAAGAGTGCTTCCATTTCTGCTTTTCCATTATATAACCTCTAGGGCAGCTGTGCTATTAAAAACAGTTCAAATACACATCGAGAAACCACCATTTTTGCTGTTCTAATTTGATATAAACACACACACAGGAAGATGATATGAAAAAAAAGGTCAAAACTGGAGAATCACAGCCTCGTGTAAAAAGCCCATAAACAACTGTGAATAAGGGGAATAAAGGTGAAGCACAAAATGAATGCCTCATGTAGAAAGGCTCCCCAAGAAACAAATCATGTTTGTTTTTCCATTTTTTAGGCTCATGCGCCAGAGTTACCCAGGTATTTCTTATAGTAGATACATTAAGGTTCCAATCCAGAAAAAAATCTACAACTCCCAACATTGCCCAGTCGTTGTGTGACCTCCATATTCATATTGTAGAGATGTGATGATCAGCTATGGTTATGTTAAATGATGTTTCCCATTATGTGCGTGAGCTTGGTGAGCTCTAGCTTTGGTGCTTTCACTCTCCCCATTCCTCCTCCTCTACAGTTTTCGCTTCTGTTTTTAACTGACCACTATTTAGTATCAGATCTGAACCTGGATAAATTGTGGTTAGTCTTGAATGATTTACTTTAAAAGGCCAGATTCAAACTTTGGTTTATAAAGCTAGTATGCTTAGGTAAAACATAGTTATCCAGATTTTAGGATCAGGATAACACAAAATTCCTGTAAATTGAAAACAGAAGTGAACACTTCTGATCTCCTTCCAAATGAGGCTTTTGCCCTGACATGGCCCTGCCTCCTTCACAGAATTTTATAGGGGGTCTTCACAAGGTCATCTTCTAGTCATAACCTTCCCTTGTTTTCCTCACTTGTTCTGTATTTCTCCTGCCGCAAATGTGTTCAGGAAAAAATGCTGGAATAGTTTATGTAACACTAAACCACAGTTTAGGGGTTTTTATGTTTGAACAAGGCCATTGTATATTTATCACAGTGAACACCAGTGCAGCTTTGGTAAGCACGATTGCCAGAAAAAGTATGACGCCTGCTCTCACTGTTTGGATAAAATAGGAAAACAAATGTTCCAGTGACTAATATGGTCCTTAGGGATGCCAGCTTCAGATTTTATTGGCCCAGTAGAATTTTATCCTCATAAGCTCTTGCCAGAAAATATGGGTTTAAAAGCAGGGCAAATGCATTTTGGTCATTTTCCTATTTTCCTGTAATTAAGTTGTTGTCTTTTAAAGATAGCAATACTCAGATGGATCCAACTGACACACATACTCAAAGGCACACTGGCCTTCTGTCTCTCTCTCTCTCTCTCTCTCTCTCTCTCTCTCTCTCTCTCTCTCTCTCAACTAAAGCAGTTTCCTGTTAAGAGGAAAAAAGCATTCTGCTCATTCTTTTTATAGATATTCTAGGTACACTCCTCACCATCTTCTATTTTTAAAAGAGCAAAGGAAAAAGAGGAAAGGATTACAGAACAGGTGATGAAAAAAGTCTCTCTGCCAAAAATCCTGGGCTAGGTGGGCTAGTTCTGGGTTTGGACACATAGATTTACCTGGAGTGAGGCAGCTGTGTATGTTTCAGAACAAGGGTGCCACTACCTTTCACAAAGGAAAGGTTCTCTGCACATGTTCAAAGGCACTTTGTCCTAAAAAAAAATCCATCAGAGGCATTCTATTTAAGGGACTAGCCTATTTGGAGATAAGGCTTGGCAATCACAACATGCCTTTAAACAGAAACCTGAGTCAGAAAGAGAAAAAAGGGATCCTCCCAAGCTCCCTGGGGATCCATCTAGCCTACAGTTTCCCTCTGATCCTTTTTGTTGCAGCAGTGTCCTTGCTTTGGGGCTTTTCTTTGCAATTCATACCATGTTCATTCCTCACCCCCGAAATTGATTGTGAAGAGATTCACAGAGCAAAACTATCTTCTGTTTAACAAAGTGCTAAATAAATAAATGGAGGTATAATTTTTTGCATGTACAGACAGAAGAAAACACTACAATTCCTAGGATTGTGTGCTGACAATATCTTCCTTCTTTCCATGTCTTTTGCTAGAGCAGAAGGTGTCCTCTAGTGGCATTTATGTACATTGCATAGACTTAAAACAATTTCAGATGGGGAACCAAACTGATAGTCCACAGAAAAATAGCAGAGCGTCTCACTTCTGCTTTACATCGTACAATTATAATGCTGCTGCTGTGCTCAGCCCCATGTTTTAGTACTGCTTCTCCATTTGTGGTATATTAGAGCAGCCCCTCTCAAGACTGTTAGCCAGTCTTGATGAAAAAATATCTCTCAGGTGCAGTTTCTCCCTTTAAACTCACTTAAATCATAGCACCATTATGGCTCAGTGATAAACCAGAGCGGTTAACCTCCGATGGCCTGAGGCTGAACATATTTACTTAGGAATAGGATTATTTTGTTGTAGAAAAGGTTAATGTGTTTTGAAGGTAAAAGAAGAAAATGAGCATCAGTGACCACATGCAGTGCATGCCCACCTGGCTTCCCCTGAACTCTGTCTCCTTTCTTCATCAGGAGAAAGAACATTGTGGCAAGCAGCAGCACCCCAGAGGGCACTGGCAGGGCCATGCTGACACTCAGCGTATTCCCCAGGGTCCTGCCACCTCCCGCTCCCGGCTGCTTACTTGGGGCCTCTTTGGGCCAGCCCTAGTGGCACCAGAAACGCCAGTTCCCATCGAGCCTGCTGCTGTGCAAACGCTCATCATCACTTGGATTGCCTTTGTTGTGGACATCTTGGGAGACCTGGAGATAGTTTTCCATGCTTTTTTATATAGTTTGGTCATATAACTAATTATGTGTAAACCAGAAAAACACTGCTAGCAATGCATGGACATTTAGGGCACATCTTCAATGGTTTGTTTATTAGTTTATTTGCTCTTGTTTGTGTTGTTTTGTCTTGTTTTTTAAACTGTAGCAGTGAGCACTGGAAACTTTTTTTTTCATGTGGACATTTCCATTTCCATGACTCTAAGAATCTTTGAAGTATAACGAAAATCCTTAAAAAGTGCCTGTGGATCACAGATTACCCATTAGTGCAAAGCTGTTCAGTACTCCTAAATACATACCCCATGTTTTTCTGAACTGACTAGAAAAAGAAACAGATAATACTTTTGTGAGGATAAGCATCCTCTGAGTCCAAGTCCATGTCTAGATGTCTAGATATCTAGACATTAAAAAAAATCTCTCAGGGAATGCTGGGAATTGTAGGACTTTTTCTGTCTAAACAAGCTTGTGATTGCACCGCAATGTTTTAAGGGCAACTCTATGCTCAGCCAGCCAGCTGAAGCTACCCTTTGATGGTCTCTGGGTGCCATGGCCATTAATGAAACTAGGGCTTAGGAGGTCAAGGGAAGGAAAAAGGAGGCACACAGGGAAGAATGCAGTGAGGTTGGTGGCCTCACTTGTCTGCTCCTTGGTGCCAGAGAGAGGTATTCAGAAGCCAGCTAGAAAGCCTGGTGCCTTGCGGATGTTTTGCACTATGACTCCCTTCATTCCCAGCCAGCATTCCAATGGCCAAGGATTTGGGGAATTGTAGTCAAGGCATCCAAAGGGCACGGCATCTCAGTGCTTTGCTAAATGCATTGCCATGTCTTTAGCATAGATGGCTGCAAGAAGAAGCTGCTGAGCTGCTGCTCCATCCAACATATGAAGAACAATGACGACTGGTGGGCTGCAAATATGCAAAGGTAGAAGTAGCTCGTTGTTTCAACAGCCTTGCAGAATTAACACAGTTCTCCTGCCAGTAGCATATCAACACTGGGGCATGGGCATTGTTATTTCCTTCAGGCATTTGGGAAGAAGCAGGATAGGAATTAGGCTTAATACTGGAAATGTTTAGTATGTGTATTTGCTTTCCATAATTTCATCTTACACTGTTGTGTTCCCACCATTTCAAGGCTAGTGAACCTCAGGCCTGGGGGCCCAATCTGCCCTCCTGGGGTCCCAGTTTCTAGTATTTTAGCCTTTCCCATTTGTATTTGTCTCCAAGAAGTTCTCTGAATTCAGTCCTCAGGCTGAAAGTGATCCCCTGCTCCTGTGCTAGTGGGAATGCACAAAAGTAAGTTAACTTATTCTTGGGCATTAATCCCAAATAATTAGCAAATCTGCCTTTGTAGTCATGAACATGAACACTGGAATTACACTTCAGAACATAAATGCATCTTGGGGAATTGGCAAATGTCCACTGTTCTTACTGTTCATCTAACAAACGGATAGCATGTTAAATGAAGCTGCAGCAGGATAAAGTGATGTTGTAACAGAAAAGCCACTTCAGTATGGACTGCAGAGTTTCACAAGCACCAAAATGAACAGCAAGTCAATTGCAATTGAGGACCTCTTTAGATGTTTGTACAGATGAGATGGCAGGAGCAGATCTTAGGAACACAGTTGCCATGTCACTGTATGGCTTGAGTGGCTTTTTCAGAAAGTGAACCATGGTTGCCATAATGGAAGGGTTTTCTTAAAATGATTGCTCCTCTCCCACCTTTGGTGCTTGAAATGGCTAGCATACCACCTGTATTTGCAGGCTGTTTTTAGATGTCTGGAATCCATCTAAATCCAGACCTCTTCCTTATGGGCTGCTTTTCCAGGGCAGACAATAATAAATTACATCTTCAGTCACACTTTTTCAGCACTTGGGTGACCTTGTACTGTGAACCTGGATTTCTTTGGGGCGGCCAGCTGCAGGAGTACTATCGGCTTATGTCTGTCCTTAGGCCCCCTGTGACTTGTTTCTCTTCCTGCAGAGAATCCAGCAAGCCAGCAGAGCAACCATGGACTGGGGTCCTTCTCTGGAAGAGAATAGAACTGGCATGTATGTGGCCACCCTGGCAGGCAGCCAGTCACCTAAACCTTTGATGGTCCATATGCGAAAATATGGAGGGATAACCAGCTATGAAAACATAGCCTTTCAGGTAGATAAAGAAATTGAAGAGGATGAAGAAGAGTCCATGATGTGAAGAGATGGCCTCCTTATTCACCTCATGTGGTAGAAGGCGGTGAGAATGTGGGGAGCACCTTGCCCCAGATGTTTGCGCTTCAGGCCACTCAGCAGTTTCTTTCCAGACACAGCCAATGCTGCCGACTATTCAGCATTGCAGAGCAGTGAACTCCGCTGAGAACCCCAGTGCTGTTGAGGTTTCTGTTCAGTGTGGTGAAATGTGCAATTAACCTTTGTGTTAGTGCTCTCGTGCCCCCTCCTCCTATCACGGGTGATGGATTCCTCACAACCAGGGCCCTGTACCCCAATATACTAACTTCCACCTGCATAGATTCAACTTACTTTCCTCCTTGGCATCACCTGGGAATTTGCTAATAGTTTTTAGCCCACAGACTTTATGGAGCAACTCTGAATATAACAAATCTGCCACTGTGATCCTCTGTTGTGTAGTAAGTGGTAGCTTTGCAAATACCCCAGGAGTTAGCCTCTTCTACGTAGTGATCCTAGAAGGCACAGAGGCTAAACACTTTGAAGGTCAGATATTGGTGAGAATAACAAGAATGTACCCAAATACTAAAACAACACATTAAGAATTCTAGTTTTGCATTCTTAAATAAACCAATAGACCATCCTGAGCCTTTTGGTAACAAGGAGGGACAGTATAGAAAAGCTATAAATGAATGAATGAATGAATGAATGAATGAATGAATAAAAGACAAAGGCACTGGTGAGGGGTGGAGCTATTTCTTGGAAGTATTAGACATATAATATATACGCACCTAGCCTTACTCGGCTGTGGTATAGGTTAGGGGTTAATTCTGTCGTCCAGGAAAGAGTACATTCCCCTTTTCCAAAGGATATCAATGCAGGCAAGGAAAATAAAGTAGAATAATGATGTCAAAAATGTCAGGAAAAGGTACCACATTATGGATAGTTTCAAGCTGACTGGGGAAATGTATAACTCTGCTTCTGCATATGAATGATCTGCTTGTTATTTGTGAGCTTGCCTCACCACCCCTCTATCCATAAATGGTTTGATCACACACTCAGCATCTTATTAAGGCTTTCTGAGTGGCAGAATTCTATAACACACATGCAGATAGGTGTTGACACAAAATATTTTAATACACACATACACGTGTCATCACAGGGATCAAGGATGCTGCCTTATACTGGCCCAGACCTTTGACTGATCTAGCTCAGTGTCATCTGTATGAGCATCTCTACATGAGGCATTTAATCCAGGGCATTACTGAGGCTTCTTCGGTCTTCTTTGTGGAAGGATTACAGTGTCCTTCAAACCATTTCCCCCTCCAGTGGTTTTCTTCTCTGTTTTTCTGAATGTTCCTATATGTTCCATTATACAACAAAAGGTGACCCTACGGTATAGAGTAGACTTGCAAAAATGTACTAGGTTTCTGCTGCACATAATAATAGCATTCAGGAAAACAGCTGACTTTCCACACTCAAGTACTTGCAAAAATGGCTAGAAAACAGAGGAGAGCTGCTGGAGGATGGAAAGGACTGCAACATTCCCTGAGTGAAGGAGCACAAATGTACAACCTATGCCTCACGTAGAGAAGTATTATGACTGACATGAACTGTCCAGGGTCTCAACAGCTGCAGAGCCTAGGGACTGAAGCTGGGTCCTTTTACAAGTGATCTGTCACTGAGAAAGTGGTCTTTATGAGAAAGAACAACAGCAGACTGGTGTAGTTTTGTTTGGCGAGAGGCCATATGCTTCGGCGAAAGGGTACACACTCAAAAATAACCAATGAGTGTGTTTGTGTATAACTAGCCCATAATACAACGTGATCTTTAGTTTTCCCATTGTGGAAGTACACTGATTTGGATTTACATATGAAGCTTACACATGTCTTTGCTTAAAAATCATTCTCTCAGTGCTTGCGTGTTGCATATATAGTAGAAGAGGAGGCCAAATCTGATTTTTGGTCTCATGAATGAAAGTGGTCTATATATAGCTACCACCAAAGACACCCAAGTGCAGTTTTGGTTTTGTGACCAGTGTGAGTTCTTTGAATCAGGGATTCTAATATTTGGAGGAGACCTCTTTTCCACAAGGGTTTTAAGGTAAAGAAGAGAAGGTCTACATCTTAGCTTTTAAAAGGCAGGGAAAACAACAGTTTTTAAAACAATGCAAATCACACAATGATTTGCAATCCACATGTAGCTCTTTCATTACTTAAAGAAGAAAAGGAAGGCCCTGAGCAAGCAGGGTTTTAAAATCCTCTTTCACCACCTGATTTTGAAAGGACTGATTGAAGGGGAGTGGATAAAGAACCTTCAAACATTTGTAGATGATGATTGTTTGAGATGAGGCTTCTGTTTCCAGATTCCATTGTGGAATTATGATAAGATTTTTAAAAAAGGGGCTTTTTTCCTTCACTGCCTCTCTGTATGTTCCTCTACATAACCTCTAGATGGCACAGCAGAATTGTGCAATTACACCGCTGTTCCATTCCACTCTTCCCCAGAAAACCAGATTTTCCCCAGTCATCCGCACCCATTACAGTAATGGTTGGAAAAATACATTGTATGTTGTCTAAAGTACTCCGAAAGCTTTGCCTAGACATGTTCAAGATGCCAGGCTGTCACTAGTTGGGCAGCTGTGTCAGTCCCAGTGCAGGCATCAAGGCCTGCCCAAAGTACTTTGCTCCCTGAGACAGAGGAGCAAATGGAGCCTCTCCACCCATGGCAAGGTGCAAGGTATCCAAGGCTGTTTAAATTTTTTTGGCAAAACTCAGGTGCTAGTTCTTAGCAATGTTATTTCAATCCAAGAAGGGCAAACAAGTTCCCTACAACCTTCCCTTCTCCAGCCCATGTATGCTGCTAGGTTGATCTCTCCCTTGCTATTACATTTATCCAGAGAGCAGTGTATGTGCACACATGAAGTCTCTCAGTAGCCCTTATTTCTCTGGCCAATTAAGGAGGCAATCCCAAAGAGTCTGCGATCCCACAGGACTGTCAGAGTAGCCCTTAAGTGTCTCTCTCCTCCATCAAATAATTTGCTATCCTTTCATGACGCTCAAAATCAGCTGCCAAACCTAATGACAATATTGGCCCTATGAGGCAAAGAGTGGAATTCGTTGAATTGTGTGGGACATGCCAGTAGATGCATAACTAATACAGTAGATAGGAGAATGGGAAAGGAGCTAGATAAGTAGCATTTCCTCATATTGTCAGGTTTTCTAAGAGCTGGCTCTTTCCTGTTGCTCCCTAACCCAATTGGAGTGGGCTGACAGGCTATCAGTTTGAAGAATGGTACTATGGTTATCATTTCCTAGCACAGATACACTTTGTTTTTTCATAACTGCCTCTGAACATATAAATCAGAGAGAGGAAAGACAACAGTGAGAAATATTTTAAGATACTGCTTTTAAAAAAATTGGCAGAAAAATAAGCACTAAATCTTTTGGCTTCAGCCTGCCACACACATACACAATCTGCAGACTGTTTCTAGATACTTTTCTGGGACAAACACACATCTTCCATGTGTTTTTTTCTTCCTGATCATGCCAGCAAACCTGAGTATCTTGGGGTGTTCCAAACACCAATGAGAACTCCTCTGCTTTTTAGCAAGCCTTGTTTTAGCTACTGAGAAATTCTTTTTTACTTAAAGAAGCAAATAGTTTAAACGATAGAAAAATTGTGCATTCTGGTCTGGCATTTCTAAAATGGGTCCTATTCTAATCTCTGCAAGTATGTGCATGTCTATTCTTCTGATTCATAATCACACTGCATTTGTATCCCACCTTCTTTTTTGTCCTCTTGTGAGGAACCCGCATACAGTTGTCCTCCACTCCATTTTTATCCTCACAACAGCCCTGTCTACAGCAGAATCTTGTACAGGGCACCCCCTTTTAAAGAGAGATGCCAATGTCCAGCATTTATAATGTATTCGAGACAGTAATGTGTGTTCTTTTGCGCACATGGGTGTCCGTGTCTGTGCATATGTATACTGCTTGATATTTAAATAAGGAAGGACCACCCATTTAAATGTTATGTTTTATGGAACACAGCTCTTTAAACTTGAAAGCAATATGTTGACAATACATGGGTTGCATCCAGGATCTGCCCTCTTGCGGCCTCCACTCACAAAAGTTTTCTCTTCCCCAGACACACCCCACGGCTTATGCTGTTCGTCATAGCCCCTCAGCCATCTGTGTGGCATTTTCGGGGGGCTGGAGGAGCTATGAAGGGGAATCCACTCCTGCTAGCCCAGTTGCACACAAGTAAATCTGGATCCAACCCAAGCTCTCTGCATCTTTTCAGTCTGCACCATTTTGACTCATATTTCATGCGTGCCACTGAAAAGAGTTGCAAATCTCTCACTGTTGATGTGCATGTGCAAGAGACAGAAATTCAGTTTTGAATGTGCCTTTATAGGTTCTTTAATCAAACGACATTAGGGATAAAGGAAGTAGACCCACTATCAGCTTTCAGCCTGCCTGAATTGTTCTGTGTGTCACTCATGAAAAGCTGTGTTCTTTTTTACTGCATTTTTACCCTTTGCCAAACATTCTTCTACTGAGTTGCATGAATTTGGGAATTGTGGGGGCTGGGTGTTTGGCGGCTGTGTGTGTCTTTTTTCCCTCCATATTTTGACCTCTCTTACCTCTATGGGAAGTGGTTTTTTTATTATTCTTAATGGGCAAGGTGTCCTTACCTATTTCCTCCACCATGCCCATGAGCATCCTTGGCTCAACCCTTTCCTTCACAGACTCTGGTGAAGCTGATAGGTGAATGCAGTGGGTGGTCACCTGTGGGTCCCAGACCTGCATGTAGTTCTTAGCCTGATTTCAAAACCCTTCTGCTAACCATCAGTTTAGCCCTCTCACTCATGTCAGCATTGATAAAGTTGTTAAAGCTTTTCCATGCCATTGCTAGTTTCACCTGGGCAAATGTTGGTAGGGAAGGAGGGTAGGTTGTTCCCAACCATGTAATGATTACTTTGCATCAAGCCACAGAACAGAAAGGGCCAGTTTCTGTCATATACAA